TGACCCAGTAATCCATTCGTGTATTGGAGGAAGAAATAAAGGCTTTAGTCTTAGTGGTCATTCATTGGGGAATGAAAAGCACAATATCACAAAATGTCATATTCTTGCTGATCCATGTGTAACAGTGTGAAACTGTTCTTTTTCACAGTGTTATGAATATTGTGATGGGTATCTTTATCGTCAGAAAGTTGTACCTGGATGTGTTGTTTGTAATATAAGTGTGTTGTTGTTCTCATGTGCCATAACTCAGTATGCTTTTCGGTTGGGTTTTATATTTTTATTACCTCAATTTATGCCATGTTTACAGATGTGCAAAAAATAAAATAAATACGTATTATAATAATAATAATAATAATAATAATAATAATAATAATAATAATGAGGAATAAGAAGTGAATTTGATGGTGGAAATGACTTTAAGATAAATACCTAAATGTGTGTATACATTATATATATTTTTTGTTTGTTTGTTTGTTTACAGATCAGCGTGTTCTCTACTTGCGGGACTAAATATGAGTTTTAACGAAGACTCTGCGGAGTAGAATTAATGATTTTCTCCACAATCCGACTCCATTTGCAGCCCACAAGCTACACGGAACCTCTACGTGTGCGCGTGCGCGTGCGTGCGTGCGGGAAGGCGGGCGTGCGTCTGACGTAAAAGGGAAAAAAAACACCCTTGCGTCACCACGTATACGCGCGACGCTCGTTCTCATCGCTGCTCTTCTCGTCTCCTCAACTTCCGTGACCATATATAGAAGCAGCTCGCTGTTTTGTTGCCATGGTGACACGGGGGGAAGGGGTGGGGATGCGGTGACAGGTTCTTCCGGTAAAAAAAAAAAAAATACAACAGAAAAACCGAGAATCTGTCTGCGAAACTCACTCAGCGCTTTTGTTGACATATTTAAATAAGTTTACCCCCCCCCCTTTAAGATTTAAAATGTACGTTGTATATTACTGAGTTATCTAATATACAGTTCATTTGAGAAATAGCACGTAGGAAAAGTGAAAGTAAAGAAAAAGTAAGAACTGTGCTGTCCAAGCTCCTTCTTTGTGCACACAGAAACACATACATAAAAACGATGCTTATTTATTTATTTATTATTGTGTCAAATAACAAATCACAAAAATTTAAGATAATAAAAAGACCATTAATGTCCAGGTCAAGAATATAACCGAGTCAAAACAAAGCAGTAGGTGTGTTTTTATAGAGTTTAATGCACTATAATAAAGTAAAACCCTACACCGACTCATGCACACAGGCCTACAGTCCATCAGCAAGCTTACATTTATTCAGATTTCTCACTCGTGTGTGTGTGTGTGTGTGTGTGTGTGTGTGTGTGTGTAATTTGTGACTGAATTGCAAATCCTATGTATAATCCGCACTATATATCTGTACTGATTTGTTAAGGTGTTTTGTCCATCATCCCGATACTCTCAAACTGGTCCATCATCATTCGTGATTTAACTTCAAGCCGAGACGAGTTTCTGTACAAAGAGGATACTAACTCATCGCAAAAGTGAAAAATGGGATAAATAATCAATGTCTCATTACACTGTAAAGTACAGGGTTAGGGATTAAAGTAGCTTATGTTCCTAAAGTTAGCATGTGTCATGATTATAGAAGGAAGTCTGTGCATTTTTACATTTATTTTTATTACACTGACTTATAAACATTATAAACATCACACTGTGTTCACCACTTCACATTACAGACACGGTGTGTGAATATTCTTTAGTGTGAAAAACATTTTCCATCTGTAGTAATGACAGATTTTTGTTTGTTTTGTTTTTGATTTTGTAATACGACAACAAGCCGTGATTCACGTGCTGTATTCTACCAAAACAGACATGGGTTTCAGCATTTTACATACATTTACTGATTTGACACACCCACTTTACCTTCTGTAGGGTGTGTTAATGATCTGAATCGAGTGTGGTTGTAGTGTGTTGGGTTGTTTCACAATCCTGTACTACACAATCACACACTAACACACACACACACACACACACACACACACACACACACACACAGTGTGTGTAAATGTGTCAAACTGGACTTTCAGAACTAGACAGAAAAAGCAAACACACTCAGACTTGCATCACTAGTGTGTGAAAAGGCCAAGCTCAGCACACACACACACACACACACACACATACTGCCACCAACTGACCACACACAGGAACATTACTGATTTTTATTTTCTATACATGGAGAATTCATGCTAATTCAATGACATGCTGCTGATTATGACATCATCATCATTATTAAAGTTATAACACCTACATAATTAAAAACCAGATTTGCTCGATTGGACTCACAGCCATGGACGGCATCATCGAGATTGGAACTTGTGTGAGATTATGTAAATTACATTATATAAACCACTTCACCACACACACACACACACACACACACACCTGGATGACCATGAGTGTTTGGATGTCATTGCGTAATAGTGTTGATTAAAAGCCGCATCCTTGTGTCATCTTACTGCACATGCAATGAGAGTTTACACCATTTCCACCGTGAGGATCGAAAATGCAGACAATTTTACTTATTTAAATTGAAGTTTATTATTCAGTTCATAGTGTGCAGCTACTGTGACCTGACCTCACCGGAACCTTCTGTTCACATGATCTGTTCTGGATAGAACTATGCTGAATGTTATTATAATTCCATTACTGTATGGTACTGATACAAGTCTTTATACCTGGCAGGTGTGTATTATGTTACATAGATCCAATCAAATAAAAAGTAATGAGTATTTATTTCATTACACAAAAAAATGACTGAATTATGTGTTAATTACATGTGAAGTGAGATAACACCCTCGTAACCGCCTGCATTATTATAATATACAATTACTCTATTTATTTTTAACTGACAGACATGTGAGGGAACGGAATAACATTCACACACACACACACACACACACACACACACTGTCACACTCGTCACTCGTCATTAATGTCTGAGATCAAAAATGGATCTTTATGTTCACACGTTCCACTGTGATGTTCGGAAAGAAGTTCTCTAATAATACTGCAGAGGAAACGTTATTCATCCATCTGTCACTGCTGTCACTCTCAGCATCATACAGCTACACTCTTAGAAAACTGACAACCCTTAAAGGGTCTTCGGTTGTCCCTCTGTTGGAGCCCTTAAAGGACAAGAACCCATTGTGTGTAGAGGTGTGGTGAGGACAGAGCCCTCTATTAATATTGGCTCCCTCTGTAAATACGAGCAAAGAAGACTGTGAAAAATTGACTTTACTGTTTAACCTTTTGATCTGCTGATCAAAAAATTCTCAAAAATACTCTGCTCTCTGCAAAATAATGAGCAATAAACTTGAAATGAATTTACCCTGTAAATACACACACTTGGGGTGGGGGGTAGAGGGGGGGGGTCTATAAGAAGACAAGTGTTGTTTAATTGATTATTGGAAAATGAATGGTTCTTAAGTTCCAGCCCTGTTGTATGGTTTAAGGGTTCCCCTAAAGGCAAAACCGATGAACACTAAAGGATTTGACATTTCTTAAGAGATTATACAATATACGCTCCTACTACAGTTTCTTAGATTAGCGAAGCAATGCAATGAAAGTTTGTGTGTGTGTGTGTGTGTGTGTGTAGTAAAGTTATTATTTATAGATATTCCTGTTTAATCACAGTACATTTTAGCTACAGCTCTATTACAAGTCCTGAGTGGAAAATTCCAGAAATTATGTTAAGTGACTCAATGGTGTGTGTGTGTGTGTGTGTGTGTGTGTGTGTGTGTGTGTGTGTGTGTGTGTGTGTGTGTGTGTGTGTGTGTGTGTGTGTGTGTGTGTGCGTGTTTGTACGAGTGTGATTAATGTCTGTTCACGTTATTTTCAAGACCGATGAAGAGGAAGTTGTCTGGATGTTGTGTCTGTGTCTGTGTGTCTGTGTGTGTGTGTGTGTGTGTGTGTGTGTGTGTTGTGTGTGTGTGTGTGTGTGTGTGTGTGTGTGTGTATTGCCTGGAAAGGTTTAATCCATTGGCTTTTTATTGTAAATGGTGAGGTAAAGACTGGATAGATTGGATGAGAAAGACATCTGGCTATTTCTGGCGAATTTTACTGTTTAATAGTTTTGGACATGCTAATCTTCCAGCACTAGCTTACTTTGGCAGACTAAATAAATAGGAAAGAAACCAAAACAATTATTTACAAATGCTTTCAAAATTTTGCCACTGTAATGTAAAGTGGCATATCTTAACAGTCCAAGTTTGTCATAGTGATGGGTTACTTTCCCTTTACTTTAACCACAGAGTCTGTTTACGTTACCTCAGTGTTTACACAGGTACGTTTTCATTAATACTGTGGGTTTAGACATACAATTATTTCCAGTGTTGCCCTATTTTGGGTATAAAAAAAAACTACCAAACAAACAGATGTGTAAGTTTTATTGGAAAAATTAATTCTTAGCATGTTTCAGCTTTGATTGGATGCATAAGACATCTGGGTACTTTTTGGATAACAGTAAATGGTTGGTTTTTTTTTGGACATGCTAATCTTTCAGGATTTGTGTACTATTATGGTAAACTAGAGTCGTGTGGATAAAAATAAATATTCGGAAATATTTCCAGTTAGCGTAGGGATGTTTTCCTTACTTTTCTCTTGAACCGCAGCTTCGATTTCAGACTGAGAGACACTGTTTACATCGCCTCAGTGTTTATCCTCTAACCTTTTTGATTCATACTTTTCATGTGGGGACCTACTAATTTGACAAAATAGAGTTGTGTACCTTAACCTAAAAACAAGAGATTAGGATCCAGAGTTAATCCTTTAATCAGTATAATGTGAACTATTTCATCAATCCATGTGTCATAATGCTGGTTTCCTTTAATGTTACTTCAACAGCAGCTTCAGTTTCACAGTGAGAGGTTAACACCGTTAACGTTACCTCTGTGTTTATCCAGGTACTTTTGGATTGTGATTTTCAACATGAAAATCTTTCCAGTGTTGACCCATTTTGGCAAATTGGTTTTGAGTTTAGTGGTTAGCACGTTCGCCTCACAAATCCAGGGTCCGGGGTTCGATTCCCGCCGGGGCCATGTGTGTGCGGAGTTTGCATGTTCTCGCCGTGCTGCGGGGGTTTCCTCCGAGTACGCCGGTTTCCTCCCCCAAGTCCAAAGACATGCACGGTAGACTGATTGGCGTGTCTAAAGTGTCCGTAGTGTGTGAGTGTGTATGTGATTGTGCCCTGCAATTGACTGGCACGATGTTCCCTGGGATAGGCTCCAGGTTCCCCCGTGACCCTGAAGAAGGAGTAAGCGGTAGAAGATGGATGGATGGATATTTTCCGGTCATTTTGGCTAATAGTTAAGAGTTTTGGATATACTAATCTTGCAGGAGATTTACTTTAATAGCAGCTTCTCTACGCTGAGGTAATGCTTCAGAAACGCGTTACCTCTGTGTTTATCCTCAGACGTTTTTGATTAATATTGTGGTCTTGGACATAGAAATCTTAGAATCGAGAGTGGTGACCTATTAGTCTGGTAAAAACTCGAGTCACATAGTGATGGTTTATTTTCCCTTCAGTTGAACAGCAGCTTCAGTTTCAGGTTGAGAGACCCTGTTAATGTTCCCTCAGTGTGAAACTCAGTGTGTGTGTCAGACATGTTGGTACTTTTCCTCTAATATTTGTGTTTCTTCACATCTTACAGCATATAACAGGAGTAGCATAGCCTGTGGAGTTCTCTATGGTTAGCTGGCTGCAAAGCTGATCAGATCATGACCAGAAAGGAAGGAAGGGGCATTAGCATCTCGAGTTAGCACACTTCCATTCTGACAGAATGGGTGACACATCCGGGTATTTTTGTCTCACGGTCTTCCAGAAGTACAGCACAGTTCTGACCAAGTGGAGGTGTGTGGGCAGAGAAAAAAAACAAGCACTCGGGTTATCATCAGAAACTTTGATTCTTGTTGTTAAATTACTGTACGAGAATGAAATCAACGTCTAAAGATTCCTTTGGTCAGAGTTGCTGTTGACATTCCTGTGTTTAACAACGCTGACAGACTCTCCTGTGATGTGGGAAACCCGCGTGGGCAGCGCGCGCGCGACACCGGAGAAAAGGGCTTTCCTCTCAAAACAGAAACCAAGCGCGCGGAATGTTGCTGTGTTTCTGTTTGGTTGCTAAGGGGCGGGGCATGAGGTGTCCATTTTTTATTTTTTTTCTTAAAGCTCGAGTGTTTGGTTGCTAAGGGGCGGGGCATAGCGGTAAAAAATGTAATCCGCTCTGCTACAGTGTGGGCGTGCGCGCGTGTGTGTTTGGTTGCTAAGGGGCGGAGTCGAGGAGGGTTTTTCGGTCTGTGTTTTCCTGACGTCACGGGGCAGGACACTTCCGCGTTCCGCGTGCTGTATTTAAGCGCGCTGATGCAACGCGACTCGAGATCTTTCAGGCGAGGAGCGAGTGTCGCGCGCGCCGTCGAGAACACGGGTCATTACCGACAGGAACAAGGTGAGTCGCTGCTCGGACGCGCGTTTAAACACTTTTTAACAACACTTTAACCGGAAACGAGCTTTGTTTAGTGGTTTAGTGGCGCGGGTAGGAAGTGTGTAACTGGGAATTCAAGTGTCCTGAACACAAACTGAACAAGTTGTGTAGAATTGTTCTCGGGTAAAAGGACTGGGGTTTTGTTGTTGTTGTTGTTGTTGTTGTTTTTGCATCTGTTCAACATGCACGTGATGCATTTATATTTGTGTTTATATATGGAAACCCATGCACACGGTTTTATCCTCTGATAGTGAACAGGTGTCAGTGTAGCAAGCATGAACACCTGCAGTGTTGAGTTCACACACACACACACACACACACACTACAGATCACAGTGTGTGGATTGTAACTGCGACTGTTGTGATGTCACAACAATTATGCAAATCACCTTATTTTGCACACTAGACCCGAACTCGTCTGGTATTTAAAAAAAAACAAGTGTCTGTACATGTCTTTGATCATTTGAAGCTGGACAGTGTTTTATTTATATATTTATACATGTACAACTGTATAATTAGGTGTCAGTGATCAGACTGGACCTGATGTTCTGATGGATAGGTGTGGAGTGGTCAGGTACACTGTGTGATTAGTTTATAGGTTACAGATGGAATTAAGTGGGTGGGTGGGTAGTGTGTTTATTGATGGGTCACTCGGCAAGAGGCTGACTTCAGTGTGTGTATAAATGGGGGATGAACTGAACATAATATATATGTGTGTGTGTCACCACGAAACATGAAAGAAACGCACACTGCTGGTGATGAAATTCTGCTTTGTGTGTGTCTTTTTCAGCCTCAGACTGTAATGAAACTGAATTATTTCATAATTCTCTCCCTCTCTCTCTCTGTGTGTGTGATAGAGTGATGATGCCAACTCTGTCTCCGTTTGCGGGTTTTCCTGCCTCCACGCTGAGCGAGCAGCTCAAACTGGCTGAGATTTTCAGCCTGCAGGCCACCATGACCCCTGACGAGCTCTCACACATGGGCAAGAGACCACTCAGCCTTCTGCAGAGCGAGGTACACACACACACACACACACACACACACCAACCAGACATCAAACATTAAGTTATAAAGATTTGTGCCTCAGTTCTCACATTAGTTAAACTCTGCAGTGTTTACAAACCTTTGATTTTTCTATATATGTTTAATGCAAGAGCACCACCTAGTGGTCAGAATGTAAAACTGCCTGTGTTTAAGAAGCATTGCATAATATACTGTATATGCTGTTTGTCAATCAGACGGCTGATGAGGAAGAGCGGAGGAAGAGAAGGAGAGAGAAGAATAAAGTCGCAGCGGCACGTTGTCGGAACAAGAAGAAGGAGAGAACTGACTTCCTCCAGAAAGTGAGTGCATATTAATCACACCACGTTCACCACTAATACTGCCAAGTTCTGCATTTTGATTGGTCAGAAGGTGTTACTGTAAATTTTCTATAACAGCATCATGTGTTTTTCATAAGATACTGTAAGAAATTTGATATTAAACCATTTCCTGTTGGAGTAATAAACGCTTCAGGGTGTCTCACGGCGTCTAATTTTGTGTGTGTTTCTCAGGAGTCAGAGCGGTTGGAGGTAGTAAACACCGAGCTGAAGTCTCAGATCGAGGAACTGAAGCAGGAACGTCAGCGTCTCGTCCACATGCTCAACCGCCACCGTCCCACCTGCATCGTCCGCAGGGACAGCATCCAGACCCCCGAGAGCGAGAACAACCCACTGCTGGAGCACATCTCCGCTTCATGAGGAGCTCTGGAGACCTGAGGAGGACGGAGTGAAGATTTCACCCTCAAACCAGATCACTTCCTGTGTTTGTGGAATTTCTAGAGACTAAACACTCTGGAAGATAGTAGTTTTTGTACTGAAAAGCAGAATGTTGCCCAAGTAACACAAAGTCTTGCCTATTAGAGCTGAACAAGTTTGAGACTTTGCAATGGACATGAGGATATTGGGAGGGGTCTTTTTTTAAAAAACCTCAAATCAATCGGCTGTCAATTCCAAAAACGGATTCACTTCCTGGTTTTGTGAATTTCCCAATTAGTTCCTTATTAATTCCTCACAATGAGACCCACATGAGACGAGATGGACGTGTGAACTCTATTTTATTGCTCAATCTCAGTCCTTGATTTCTGTTTTGTTTTGCTGACCACTTCTTGATTTTTGAGCAATGACTTCCTGTTTGCATCCTGGGAAACAGGAAGTCACAGAAATAGCAGTAGGTCTTGCCAGAAAGCATTTAACCAAACAATTATACGATATATTGTTATCGTGGACGTTTCAGAACATCACTACTTTCTCACGAGGAAGCAAGCATTCTCAGTCATGAACAAAATGGCTGACTGAACGTCAGTGCTCCTAACGAGAAGATATTTATTACTGTGGTTGATTTGGGTTGCAGTCACATGCTAGTTAGCATGCTAATCAGAAACCTTCACTGTGGGTGCTGTGTTTGGGTCGCTAACTGATGACGTCCCAGTCACATGACTGCATTAAGGTACAAAACTCTGAACAGCCACCAGATGGCGCCGTTGATGCTGTAAGCGCGCTGAATATTTTTGTGTTTTGAAAGTGAAGAGGTTAAAAAGTCAGATTTATAATATAATTTGGTATGTGTTAAAATTATACACATGCAGGTTTTTATTTAAAGAGTTAAATTAATATTTATTAAATCAAAACTTTATAATACAACATATAATAATAATAATAATAATAATAATAATAATAATAATAATTGTAGTGATGTAACTTTATCAGCCCCTGGTGGCAGGAAATGGTAACACGCTCAGTGCAGTTGAATTCATCCAGAACCTTAGAATAAACGACATTATTGCTGCTTTATCATTTAATTTAGTAGAGCGATGTCTCTGATGCTGAACCCCGCTGTGTTTATTGTAATATTTGTATTATACATGTATGTTTTTACATGATGTATCCTGTATTTAGTGATTTCGAATGCTACATGAAACACTTTACTCAATTGATGTGATATAAAAAAGTATAATATAATAATATTCTACCATGTTGATGTGCTGAGATCTGCTGTGCGGAGTCTCTCACGTCTGTTACACGATGTCTTTTGTTACGTTTTGGGAATAATACAGAAAAATACAGAAATACAACAAACTTGTGTGCGGTTGATTGATTTCACACCACATGCATGAATGCTTTTTTTTTTTTTGCATTATTTGATATAAATAAGCTGTGAGAGTATATAATGCCCTGCGTTCTGTGCTGTATAAACAAAACACCTGTATTGTATAGCACTGCTCTGATGTTTTTTTTTTTAACCCAGGTGAGACGGAGCAGTGGAGCTGATGAAGGTTGAGAGTTTTGCTGAAGGACTCGTGACTACGACGGTCAGTCACCCACTGAGCCTGCACAACCCTATCGTAACATGGTATAGTAATATACAGTTTGACAACACAATGATACAGTAACACCTACAAGACAATTTGATGCAACTGTTCAACTAACCGTAACTACTGAGCCACCGAGATCAAAATGTAGCCTAATACAACTCAGTCTAACACAAACACATAAAGAATGTAACAAAAGACATGATATA